CTGAGGAAGCCGCCACTTTCAGATTGCGAGACATTTTTGGGACACCCTGTATTTATTATGTACGCTGTGCTTTTTCTCACTCTCTTTCTTAACACAATGTTATGCTAGAAATACCATAATTTCGAGACACCCTGTACATCGTGCATACATTATATTCTTACATATGCCTTTATTATACTCGTACGACGACCATGTGAAACCTCTTTTCACTTCTTCTTCCGCGACAAAGGATATCCGATCCGTACTCACGAGCAAACAAACAATGAAATTATTATTAAACAATCATACGAAAATCGACAAAGTGATTCTAAATTCGAACGAGCCGCATCGAACCGCAGGAAACGAGAATTAAATCGTATTTTCGCTCGGTGATTCTGGTGAATTGAAATTCGACAGAACGTCGCGACGTTCGAAAATCGCTGGACACGTTTCCACCGGCTTGCCCTCCCCCCTCTCTCCCTTAAAAAAAGCGGATAAAATCCACGGACCAGCGATAAACCGCGTTTCCCGTGCGACCGGGTTTCGATGATTGAAATCGCTGCGAGTTTTCCAACGGACCCGGAGAGACTTCCACCGGAAACGAACGGTGTTATCCGAGTCGGACAAGGCTAGCGAGCCGGCCGTCGGTTCGGTGGCGGTCGAAATATTCGAAGGCGAAAGTTACCGCTCGGATGAGGGCCGCGAGAAGAAAGTCCGGCGGCTGGAACGCGATAAGTGGAACGGACGATACGATACGTAGCGTCGAGTCGCGTAGCGTCGTATCGCGTAGCGTCGTATCGCGTCCCCTCGTGTCCCGTCGCATCGCGTCCCGTCCCTACGCGTCCCGTCCCTACGCGTCCCGTCCCTACGCGTCCCGTCCCTTCGCGTCCCGTCGCATCGTGTCGCCTCGCCTCGTCTCGCCTCGCGTCGTGTCGCGTCGCGTCGTGTCGCCTCGCTTCGCCTCGCGTCGCGTCGACTCCCGAGGAGGACACGGGAATCGGGTCCAGCTCCCGAGTGCCACGTGAGAAAGGAAGCTCCTCGATCGTTCGGATTGTGTCCCGTCTGACAATCGGCTCCCTGTGCGAACGACACCGGCCGAAGGTTGCCTAGAACTACGAGGCTGTCATCGATCATCGCGAAAGTCCCGCCGGAATCTTCCACTTTGCGTGCTTTATACGTATGTGTGCAGTACACGCACACGACGGACAGACCCTGTCGCGGCGATCGCGCGATGGAAACGCGATAACGCGAGATTTTTCTACTTTCGATTCACATCGGCTGGAAATCGTAACGAGAAAGAAAGTTCGATCGCGGCGAATTCTGCGAACGAAGCCGATCGACGATCTTGTCGCAGCTTAATCCTAGCTTTTAAAATGTTTCTCCGCGTGGATTCAGCGAAATAATAATTATAATGAACAACGTACTGTGTTATTCGCGAGATCGAATGCACGCTTTACTTGGCAATAATGATTAGCCGGAGAATAATTGGGCACGGAATTTGGATATTTCAACCAAATATTTGGACATTTCAACGGGTAATCCTTTAAAAGAAAATTTAGTTAAATGAACTGTTTTTATCTATGTTTAATACTAAATGTAAAAATACTCTTATTTCGTTATCAGAAAATTGTGCGTACATTAAGCGTATATTATATTGTACAAAAATAACGAACTTAAATGTAATTTTGATATTTTGTTGCGTATCTTTTTGCATCAATGACTGCATTTTTAAACGCGTAGGCAATATAACCTTGACATAACAATTTTTAATGACGCCTTGGACTCGCCGTTCGAGTGGAAAGGGTTAATCGATCTCGCGTCACGTTTCAATATTTAAAAAAAAGAAAAGAAAAGGAGAAACAAAGAAACTGGAGCAGAGAACGAGAAGGTTCTCTTGAGGCACCGTTGTCCCCCCCGGATGGTGGGGGAAAACGTGTACCGCGCGAGGCGAAGCAGAAATTCGGATGGAATTCAATCTTTGATCTAGGCGGCGAAGGGAGGGGGAAAGAAATGGGGGAAAGAAGGAAAGAGAGAGAGAGAGAAACGGGGCAACGCGATCGAAAGAGGAAGACGGTCGGCGACCTCTCGAATTGCGACATAAGGAGCGAGGCTGTTCACACACTGACCCCCATTTTCTTACTGCCGCCGGCGCGGCGCGGCGCTGCGCCGGCTTCGATTTTCCCATTACCCGATCACGACTGCACTTCTTTCCTGCGCTAACTTGAAAAGCAGTTCGAACTTTTTGCTTGGCCGGTGCACACGATGCATTCCGGCCGTCGCACTAAAAGACGCGTTCTTGACAAACCAGCCGGATCATGATTAATTTGCCGAATTCCTTTATACGTATTGTTTACGAATCAATTTGTCATATTAACCGTTTGCATTCAAAGCCATTTTAACTGTAAATCTAAATGAATTTTGTTGACTTATGGTATTTCCATTTTACATGACAAAGTGCGTTTTATACGTATAGTATAGTATAGTCTTGCGACTCGTACAACAGCTAGACTTTTAATAATTTTTTATATCTAAACTTTAATAATATAAACATTATCTTGGAACGTGATGTAACAATTTTAGTGGTGCCTCAGAGTCACTATTCGAGTGCAAAGGGTTAATGTGTTGATTGAATTTACTAATTTTTCTTTTTATCATTCTAAATTGTATAAAATATCGTTAAGTATTATTTTTACAATGTGATATATGTATTACATTCTTTTACAGTTTTCCTTCGAACACTGCGTTATGATATTTTTTCTTTTTTAAATGAGTTGACTTTAAGAAAGTATTTATTTCTTCGAAGAATCATCGAATGCATTGATTGTCGTTGATTTGATATCTATGCACTTGTGATCCTATTATATATATATCTGGTCTGATTAAGAAACTTGATGATCTATGTTAAACAGGTGGAGACTAAGAGAGTAGCATCTGTTATGATTAGACTGCGGATTATTTAATAACAATTTACTTTGCATAAATATTTATTATTGTCACTTTCATTGAAATATTGAACTGTACAATGCCGCGCTTTATTTTATCTTTAATGAAAACTCGAAGACTCGAGGACAATTATTGTTTGTCTAATATGTTCTTTGTAATATATATTTGTATATTTATGTATATTATTAATTATTAATATTGTCTTAATATATTATATATATATATTTTTAATATGTAATATAGATATTAATTATTAATATATTCTCTTAATATTATATTGCATATATTACAAAGAAAATATTAAACAAGCAATAATTATTCTACACATATAAAATTTTTAATTAAACGTTCTGTCCATGAACTTCATAAGTCAATAAATTCTATACTATCAATTTTATACTATGAACTTCATTCCAGTTAACAAATGAATCTACCATCTCACGGTTAAACGTCAATTCTGACCCAATTTAACGAACGATTGTTTCCAAAGGCGTTTCTACAATCTTGTAAAGTAGCGGATGGATTCTTAAAGTCGTTTACTTTACATTTCTCTAATGAATAATGTGGAATGACAGTCCCCATATCATTAGCATGGGCGGACTGGCAATAAAGAAAAAAGAAATGCTGCTTTCAACCAAATGGTTCCTTTATTCCGTGCGCGCGTAGGCGCAATCCGACTGTACGATCTACTAATAAAGTAATAGAAAGTGTGCGGTTAGAATCGAACGGCGATATCCGGGAAATTCTTAAACGTCCAGACAACGTTGTCTTTTAATTGGCACGTTCTCATTGGTATACAAAAAGCTTTTCTTACACTGAATTAAATATAGTCGACTATTTAGCTCGGACAAGAATATGTGATTATTTTGTGGCTGAAGTTGCGTCGCAAATATTTCATTATTAAGTCAAGAAAATAGGTTAAGTCAAGAATATTTTATTATTAAGTCAAGAAGATAGGTTGAGTCAAGAATATTTTATTATTAAGTCAAGAAAATAGGTTGTGAGTCAAGAATATTTTATTATTTAGAATTTAAGTTGAGTCAAGAATATACTTTATTATCTTGAACTTAAGTTGAGACAAGAATATTTTATTATTTCGGACCTNCGCTTTATTATTTTGAACTCAAATTGAGTCAAGAATATTTTATTATTTCGAACTTAAGTTGGGTCAGAAATACACTTTATTATCTTGAACTTAAGTTGAGTCAAGAATACGCTTTATTATTTTGAACTCAAATTGAGTCAAGAATATTTTATTATTTCGAACTTAAGTTGGGTCAGAAATACACTTTATTATCTTGAACTTAAGTTGAGTCAAGAATACGCTTTATTATTTTGAACTCAAATTGAGTCAAGAATATTTTATTATTTCGAACTTAAGTTGGGTCAGAAATACACTTTATTATCTTGAACTTAAGTTGAGTCAAGAATATACTTTATTATCTTGAACTTAAGTCGAGTCAAGAATATTTCACTATTTTGAACTTGAGTTGAGTCAAGATTTTTAAAGATATTTTCAAGATATTTCAAATTAAATCGTGTTAAGAATATTTTATTATTTTAACCTTGAATCTCGTCAAGGATATTTTATTCTTTCAAACTCGAGTTAAGTAAAATGAATATTTCCTTAAAAACCCAATCGAGTATATCCATTTAAAATACTTTGGTAACTTTATCAATCATCTATTAATATCAGACACATTACATTCAATTTCTTCTATTTCCAATTTCTATTTCCCATCTCAAAATTAATTAGAAAATAAATCATCCAAACTGAAGACAATAAAAAAATGCTGCCTGTATCCACCACAAAAATACAATCTATTTTCGTCACTGAAAAATTGATTTCAAAATAACCATTCCCTTCGACCAAAGACGCTCAAAAACCATCATCCCCTGATCAAAAATCATCACCCCTCAAGAATGAAAAAGCATCATCCCCCTGAAAAATGCAAAAGCAGCATCCATCAAGAATAAAAACTCACGTTTCAAGGATTGAAAAAGCGGTCGCGTGAATTAAAAAGAAACTCTGCAGGCACACTGGGACCAAAAAAGAGTCCTAAGGGGGGTGCACTCACCATGGTGCAGAGTGGCGGCCCGAGTTCCTCTTCGCGGTACAAACGGATCCTCCGGCGGTTGCTCGATCCGCGATCGATCGGATTCAATCTTCGCGTGTCTGTTCGTTAATGTCCTGGATTGCACTCTATCACATCGCACCACGAACTAGCCATGACGTTCGGCGCTCGACTTTTGAGCGCGACTGTAGAAGGGACGTTCTCGCCCGGTAGAAACCACCCCCTTTCTCTCTCGCGCGCTCTCTCCCTCGCGGCCTCTCTCTCTCTCTCTCTTTTTCTCTCTATAGTTCTCTCTCGCGCTCTCTGTTCGGCGAATAAGGAGCACGGGGGTTCGTCCGGAGCAAATTCAGATCCCGATAGATCCTCGAGCCTCTCGTAATGCGCGCACGCGGGCTTAGGTTCGCGAACAGTTTGAAGGGGCTCACCCGGAATGGACAGCCTATATAGATCTCCCCTCCAAAATGACGAGGCTGCAGCGTGAAGGAGCACCGGCGAACCGTGATCCAGGAGAAAGCCTCTCCTTCGATTGGCCCCCACCTGGCCGACCGTGCTGTACCCTCGGACAATCCCAGGTGTCTTTTTCCGTACGCCGATATCCACCGCATACAGTGGCCCACAAAAGCGTACGCGCACCGTTTAAAGCGCAATTATTGTTTCAAGGCTGGAATGAGTGACTTGGATATGTTTTTTTTAAATGATAGAGCGACTGGTTTATTGGAGAATGAATAGAATTGTTTTTCTTGTAATTTTTCTGTGACTTGCAGAGTGACGAGGGAAAGTAAGAAATCTCTTGTTGTTTTCAGTTTTTTTAGCGGAGCTTATAATGAAAATTTTAAATATACTTTTCGTAGATCCTCTGGTAACTTATATGTATCTTTATACATATAGTACTAGTTTTATATACAATATAGTATATGTATAAAAATAATATACATTACATTATATATTAATATAATTATTATATTATAATAATTAATATGTATATATTATTGTATAATAAATTATATCATTGTATAATTTTATGATTATTATTGTATATAATATATTGTATATATTATTGTATAATAAATTATACAATTGTATAATTGTATAATTATTATTGTATATATTATATACATCATTATATATATTATACAATGTAATATTATTAATTATTACATTATATACTATCATTAAAAATAAATGTAATAAAACAATAATTTTATAGTACATAATTTAGTCATCGAGATCTACGAAAGGCATTTTTTCAATTTTAGGCTCAGATGAAAAAATTAAAGAACGAGAGTTCTTTATTTTGTTGTCGTTGTCATTCCTGGTATGTAATAGTAAAATTAAAGAAAAAAAGCATTTTACTGATTGTCTAAAGTCCGTCCATCGTCCAAAAAGCAAGCAAAAATTCAAGCGATTTGATCCAGATTGAAAAGGCGCGTACGAACACTTTTGCGGGCCACTGTATTTCCTTCGCGCGAAGCCGCGACGTGTTTTTCCGTCCAGTTGTCAGAGAAAATCTTGACGGACGATTACCGGTGAGAGCAGCCTCTCCGCCTCGCGGTTCTAGCTGATAACCGCCCGACAAGTTGCGGAAGTACCTTCCGATTTTCGTAATTGGTTTTGGTTTAATCGTAGTCGGACATTTAGTCGGATCGCTTCGAATTTGATTAAGATCGTTATTCGAGCGAATTCCTTTTAGTCGAATAATTCGTCAGAAATTTAAATAATTGAAATAATTTTTAATTCGAATAATTCAAATAACTCGAATAATTGAAATAATTCTTAATTCGAATAATTGAAATAATTCTTAGTTCGAATAATTTGAATAATTTGAATAATTCGAATAATTCAAATAATTCTTAATTCGAATAATTCAAATAATTTTTTACGTAGATACTTCAAATAATCCTTTATTCGAATAATTCGAAAAATTCTTCATTCAAATTCTTTATCGTGTTTCATCCGTCATCCGAGCAATGTGTCCGCCAACTCGGAATTGTTAACATGCTTCTTAATAGATGAACTTAATTGTCTGTGAAAACAGGACTTTCGTTTCGCTGTAATAGCTTCCTAGTTGATCCAAAGTCTCTTCGGCGGGCTGCTAATGAGAGAAAAATTCGCGAGATTAACGCGAGGTTAAAGGCAATCGCTCTATTAGCTGATACATTACCGGGGCGATTATATTAAAAACCACGGAAACTCGTGCGCCTATAGCGCGTTCGATTCATAATTAAATCATGCCTGAAATTCATGCCTTTCTTTCGTCTCTCGTTCAAATCGGCAAGCTTGTTGTGGAATCGCTAGAACCGATAACCGTTGTTGCACAAAAACTTCTCGGATTATTAAGTCATATAATTTGCTCGATTATGCACGAAGTTATTGTAATTTTTAAAGAATTTTTTAAAGAACTCTTCGCGTCGCAGATTTCGAATAGATTATTAGCAGACGGCGGATCTTTATGCAAAATAAACGATTATAGAACGATAAACAATTATAATCTGCATCGATTATAGTTCATAGAAGCCAACCATAATTTCTGTTCTTTAATCATCTAAATATTTTCTAAAATAAATGCGTCAACGTTCGTTGTTTCTTTCACACAATCTACTGCTTTAAATTATACCTATTTATGCTTGCCATAAATATATCAAATCCGCGGTCTAATTGCAGTAAATTCTCTCCAATTGTTCCTCAGCTTGTAAACAAAAAAATTTGGTTGTCCATTGATTTGTCAATCGGCAACAATAAAAACGAGTCGCGAGGCTCGAATAATCGTATCACCTCTTCCGTAATTGTCAATTATTGCGCACAATCCGAGCGTCGATTAGGGAGAATTTACTGTATTAGGAAACTGCCGGCAGAACGCGAAGTGTTAAGACGCTATAAAAACGTACGGCGATCCTGCGTTACGAAACTCCGGTAAACGAACTGCGCGATTGTCCTTACCAAGAACAGGTTCGCTTGAAAGGAAGGAATGCAAAGTGTCCGGTGACGTCGGTCCAATAGTTTTCAATTAGACCAGCGAACTCGATTATTATTCGTCCTTGGCGGCGAGCAGAAATCATTGCTGCTTCGGTTGTCATGACGATCATCTTTGACTGCTACAGTGATTTCAGTTACAGTAATTTCTCCCAGAAGTGCCAAATCTCGGATTGCTGTAAATTTCCCCGTGCTAGTCCTACGCCTATGTAATTTATTGCCACGTCGATGCTAGGAGTCGCGACGCGAATTCAATAGGAAGACAATACAAAACGATACGTGGCCGTCGAATAGTATCACGTGGCCTTCGAATTGCCTCCGAATCGTGTCACGTGGCCTCCGAATTGCCTCTTAATCGTGTTACGTCGAAAATAACTAGTAGTTTATACCACCGATACTAAACTTCGCAAATATTGAAATTTTAGGTTTATTATGATATCGTCGAGGTAAATTGTGCGATTTCGCACTCGTTCACAGTGGAATTGGAAATAACTAGTAGTTTGTGTCACCGATACGGGTGCCGAACGGCGCGCGATTAGTGTATTCGAGAAAAATTGCTACGCGAGGAGTGGGGCGACGACGCGTGCGGAGGGGGTCCCGCGCGGTGGCGCGGCGCGTCTACCGGGCGAGCATTGTAATTCTGAACTACGACGGCGACGCGACGCGATGCGGAGTTGCGGGTACAATACGATACGATAGGTGCCACCCTGTAGACGCGCCGCGCCGCTGCGCGGGACTCTCGCGCGTGCGTCGCCTGCCCCCACTCCTCGCGTAGCNTTCTTAGTTCGAATAATTTGAATAATTTGAATAATTCGAATAATTCAAATAATTCTTAATTCGAATAATTCAAATAATTTTTTACGTAGATACTTCAAATAATCCTTTATTCGAATAATTCGAAAAATTCTTCATTCAAATTCTTTATCGTGTTTCATCCGTCATCCGAGCAATGTGTCCGCCAACTCGGAATTGTTAACATGCTTCTTAATAGATGAACTTAATTGTCTGTGAAAACAGGACTTTCGTTTCGCTGTAATAGCTTCCTAGTTGATCCAAAGTCTCTTCGGCGGGCTGCTAATGAGAGAAAAATTCGCGAGATTAACGCGAGGTTAAAGGCAATCGCTCTATTAGCTGATACATTACCGGGGCGATTATATTAAAAACCACGGAAACTCGTGCGCCTATAGCGCGTTCGATTCATAATTAAATCATGCCTGAAATTCATGCCTTTCTTTCGTCTCTCGTTCAAATCGGCAAGCTTGTTGTGGAATCGCTAGAACCGATAACCGTTGTTGCACAAAAACTTCTCGGATTATTAAGTCATATAATTTGCTCGATTATGCACGAAGTTATTGTAATTTTTAAAGAATTTTTTAAAGAACTCTTCGCGTCGCAGATTTCGAATAGATTATTAGCAGACGGCGGATCTTTATGCAAAATAAACGATTATAGAACGATAAACAATTATAATCTGCATCGATTATAGTTCATAGAAGCCAACCATAATTTCTGTTCTTTAATCATCTAAATATTTTCTAAAATAAATGCGTCAACGTTCGTTGTTTCTTTCACACAATCTACTGCTTTAAATTATACCTATTTATGCTTGCCATAAATATATCAAATCCGCGGTCTAATTGCAGTAAATTCTCTCCAATTGTTCCTCAGCTTGTAAACAAAAAAATTTGGTTGTCCATTGATTTGTCAATCGGCAACAATAAAAACGAGTCGCGAGGCTCGAATAATCGTATCACCTCTTCCGTAATTGTCAATTATTGCGCACAATCCGAGCGTCGATTAGGGAGAATTTACTGTATTAGGAAACTGCCGGCAGAACGCGAAGTGTTAAGACGCTATAAAAACGTACGGCGATCCTGCGTTACGAAACTCCGGTAAACGAACTGCGCGATTGTCCTTACCAAGAACAGGTTCGCTTGAAAGGAAGGAATGCAAAGTGTCCGGTGACGTCGGTCCAATAGTTTTCAATTAGACCAGCGAACTCGATTATTATTCGTCCTTGGCGGCGAGCAGAAATCATTGCTGCTTCGGTTGTCATGACGATCATCTTTGACTGCTACAGTGATTTCAGTTACAGTAATTTCTCCCAGAAGTGCCAAATCTCGGATTGCTGTAAATTTCCCCGTGCTAGTCCTACGCCTATGTAATTTATTGCCACGTCGATGCTAGGAGTCGCGACGCGAATTCAATAGGAAGACAATACAAAACGATACGTGGCCGTCGAATAGTATCACGTGGCCTTCGAATTGCCTCCGAATCGTGTCACGTGGCCTCCGAATTGCCTCTTAATCGTGTTACGTCGAAAATAACTAGTAGTTTATACCACCGATACTAAACTTCGCAAATATTGAAATTTTAGGTTTATTATGATATCGTCGAGGTAAATTGTGCGATTTCGCACTCGTTCACAGTGGAATTGGAAATAACTAGTAGT